TGATGTATGGCAGAAACCAACACAATATTGTAAAGCAGGTATCTTTCAATTAAAAATAAATTTAAAAAATTATAAAAAAGGAGCAGTCAAAACTATGAAGCAATTAGATGAGTAGATAAGAGTGTATTTTTAAGAGAGCTTTTGTGGCATGTGTATCTCCTTCTTAACATTTGAGCAATTTAAAGAATTTAAATTGTTTAAGTTTTAAACAATTTAAATTTTTTAAGTTGTTAAAATAGAAAGAAATCATGACCAAAAAGAGGCTGATTGACCCTGTAGGAATAAAGCAGGACAAAAAGATGAGTAAAACTTACACTCTGGGATTTGAAATTCTCTCTTCATAAATAAATTGATTACAGGCGACAAAAGACACTTAAAGGTAAGAAGCCTCATGGGAACTCCGGCTAAACCTGAAAATAGTTCCCCCGACCCCATCCATTTCATGCTTGATCTTTAATTTTCCATTACAACAGCTGCCTTTGGGAACACCTAGAGTAAATTCGAGAAAAATAAGCAAAGAAGATCAGTTACCAGTCTAATGTGGGGTGAATGGTTTGCTTTTCTTACCGCCTACGCAGCGCCTATGCTTCAGGACTGAAACACTGCAAAAATGCTAGGCCGTGCCTTCCAGCCCAACCTCACGGCTGCTCCATTCATGAGCGGAGTGGCTCTGTGTCGGAACACGCTCAGCGCACAGACCCGTGGGCTGCATTCTCGGCCCCACACTTCAGGGCAGTGCAAACAGCTGAAGTAGCCACCTTTGTAGATGCCACTCCCGGGTTTTAAAATGACTGTAAGGTTTTACCTCCTCTCAGCAGAGTTTCAGGCTATAAATAGAAGAGAACTAGGTATTTACCTGCCTTCCCCACAGTTTCTGCACCAACAACAGAGAACGTAAGGTAACCTTGGAGACGAGCCATGAATCATTGCGGCCAATCCTTGTCCTCATCTCAGTAAAGGAGCATGGAGATGAAGGAGGGAGATGACAGCTCCCAGTGGGACTGGCTTGTATTTACACAAGTTCAAACCTTCTTACCACACACACCATCAGAATGCAGATCTCCCAGAAACTACCCCTGTCACAGCCATCTGCTGTGGGGTTCACTGAGGTCATCTTAGACTTGGGAATCAATTTAGAATCATAGGCAATGAGAACTAGAGCCCTTGGACAATGTGGGGCTTTAGGGGCACCCGCCCTGTGCAGTTGAAAATCACTTTTTCTTTTTGGCTGTGCTGAGTCTTCACTGCAGTGCGGGCTTTTCTTTAGCTGTGGAGAGTGGAGGCTACTCTCCAGTTGTGGTGCTTGGGCTTCTCATTGCAGTGACTTCTCCTGTTGCAGAGAAGGGCTCTAGGACTCACGGGCTTCAGGAGTTGCAGCACACGGGCTCCCAGGCTCTAGAGCACAGGCTCAGAGTTGTGGGATGTGGGCTTAATGGAAAAGACTCTTGAGAGTCCCTTGGACAGCAAAGAAATCAAACCAGTCAATCCTAAAGGAAATCAACCCTGAATATTCACTGGAAGCACTGCTGCTGAAGCTGAAGCTCCAATCCTTTGGCCACCTGATGCAAAGAGCTGACTCACTGGAAAAGACCCTGATGCTGGGAAAGATTGAAGGCAGGAGGAAAAGGGGACGGCAGAGGATGAGATGATAGGATGGCATCATTGACTCAATGGACATGAGCTTGAGCAAGCTCTGGGAGATGGTGATGGACAGGGAAGCCTGGTGTGCTGCAGTTCATGGGGCTGCAGAGTCAGGCACAACTTAGCAACTGAACAACAATGGGCTTAGTTGCTCCGAGGCATGTGGGATCTTCCTGGATCAGGGATCGAACTGATTGGCAGGTCTCCTGCATTGGCAGGCAGTTTCTTTACCACTGAGCCACCAGGGAAGCCCCACATAAATTTTATAGTCTGTTCTCCTGTTTGTGTTTCCCCTGTGAGTTCCACATCTGTGGGTTCAACCAACCTGGGATCATGCGATCCTGCAGTATTTGTTGAAAAAAAAAATCCACATGTAACTGGATTTGTGTTACTCAAGGGTCAAGGGTTTGATGGAATTTTACAGTTAGCCTCCAGGTGAGATTAACAGGGTGGTTTCTCTTATGCCATAGCTGGCCAAGGGCAGGGCTGGGGCTGCCACACCTTGGGGCCATTATGGTAGGAAGTGTCCTCTCCAGATCCAAGCCCACCCTTCTATGCTGTTCTGTCCTCCTGGGGCTGGGCCCTGCAGACCCTGTGGCCCTTCCTTCCCTGGGGGCTGGCTGGGTGCTGAGAAGGAGGCAGTGGTGGGAGAATGGATGGCAGCAAGAGAAGAGACTTCCCTTTTTCTAGCTCCTGTCAGCATCCAAGCTGGTTGCTCCGGCACCGGCCATGGAAGGGCCAGCACTAGTGGCTGTAGCCCCGTTAATAGTGTATGCGCCAGTGTCCTTCCCTGATCAGACTTGAGCACCAGCCACTAGCTGGGTGTCTCCTTCCCCAGAGCACTGGTGTGGCATCTCCTCCAGAGATGTGAAGACCTCTCCTGTGGGCTCCCGTGTTATGGGAATGCTACTTCATCCCAGGCGCTACACCTGCTTCCTAAACTATTTGCTACCTCGAGGTCCCTTTTTGCTACTTCAGCCTCCTTCTATTAACTCCCTCTGAAGCAATACCTTCTGTGGTTTTTCCACTGGACCCTGCCTGATAGGATTCTCGATATTAAGTGCATGTTGTACCATCTTCGGAACACATACATCTTACTGAAACATCTAAGGCATTTGTTACTTTCTGTTCAATAGATTCAATGCCATGGACCAACCTGATGTTCTGCGAGGTGTGAAGACAAGATGTCTGCAGACTAGATTATGGCGAGAACAGAGAAATGGACACATTCTAGAATATAATGCTGATTCCTTGACAGTTGTAACTTCTTTCTTCCTAAATTATTTCATTTAAATCTTAACATGTAAAAGTTAGCATGAATTCACTGTATCAACAAGAATGGGCTCTGAAAATTTAAAGTCAATGCTATTCATTCTCAAGCAGCATCTGCTTAATTGGAAACAAGAGATCTGACAATTGTTAATCCTCCACTAGGTGGCAATCATTACACAAATTCGTGTTCAACTCCCATGATGCTAATAGCCAACAAACAGATTTGACAGTTAAATTTTACTGCTCAGAAGCAACCCACAGCAATTGGGGGTGTGCCAAAGGTACAACACTGCTTTGGTGTGAGGCTGTTTTGAGTCTTTCACTCACTGACTTGTAGTAGAGACTGCTGTGTATGCTTAGCTTGCTAGACCCCTCAGTCCATGCAATTTTCCAGGCAAGACCACTGGAGTGGGTGGTCATTTTCTTCTCCAGGGGAATCTTCCCGACCCAGGGATCGAACCCTCATCTGCTTCGTTGCAGGCAGATTCTTTACCCCCTGAGCCACCAGGGGAACCCCACAGCAGAGACTGCTAGTTGTCCCAAAACATACTAGTTAGGATAGGCTTGATTATGTCACAGTAATAAATTATTAATAGCTCCAAACAAATTAAAATTATTTGACACATTTCATGCTGCATGCAGACTGTCAGGGCAATTCCACGCAGTCTCAGGAATCCAGGCTGACGGCGACCCCAGGATCTTAAGAGCTGCATCACCTACAACATATGGCTTTTTCGATTGCTAGGGCAGGAAGAGCTACTGCAAAATGATGTGTGGTCTTTTCACGACGTCACTGCCTCCTCGTAGCTAACTGGATAGAACTTCTCACATGATCTTACTGGGAGGTTGTCTTCCTACCCAGATGGGAGAATCAGATCGCCATGTCTAACCACACAGTGTATCTATTCTTCTTTCTTCAACAGCAATAGAACTCTTGTGTTAGCTGGACATGGGGCTGCCACTCCACCAATGAAGATTCCATTTCTAAATCTAAGGGGCTATGTTGGGTGTAACCTGATGTGAGGTGTAGGAAGTGTCCTCAAGGAGAGGTGTACCCTTCTCTCTTTTCGCCCTGCTTGCTGGCTAGTATACAGACACATGCCCAGGGCTCTTCTGGGTTCTGAATCGACCTTGGGATTGGAAGCCAAGCCTGAAGGAAGAACTACCTGGAAAGAGCCTTGGTCCTTGTGCCCCTGGAGGCCACACCAACCCTAACCATCTGAAGTTACAGGTGAAGTTGCATCTTTATGCCACTATAATTTGGGGGTTGTTCCCTGCTACCTGCAGCTGAATTTAATCCTAACATGGGTTCCCCAATGCAAAGTCTGTTATGTGTTCTTTTCCCAACAAGTAACATCCCCCCTCTCCTTCCACATTCAGAATAACTGATAGACACGGAGGTCTGAGAGATGGAGGTCGCAGTGGCTCTATCATTATTAATGCTGATTGGAGACATAGCTTTATATTGGTGGACAAAGGTTGTGCAATTTCCTAAAATCAGACAACAATGGAAGTTGACTCTGGCTTTCATAGATGACTTCTCTGTAGCAGGCAACAATGTTTGTTAACGTTTTACCCACAGTAGTGTCTTTCAAAATTGCCATTGAACTTCTCAAACCCTGCTGCTATCAACTAAATTTATACAATATTTTCAATCCGTTGTTGTCACTTCAATTTTCATAGCATCTTCACCCAGATTAGAGCCCAACTTAAGAAATCATGTTGTTTCATCCATAAGAAGCAACTCATCTATCAAACTTTTTTTTTAATAACAGATGTAACAAAATGAAAAAAACCTGACATACTGCAAGAATTACCACAATGTGACTCACAGACATGAAATGAGCAAATGCTTTTAGGAAAAGTGCTCATAGACTTGCTGGACACAGGGGGGCCAAACCTTCAGTTTTTAAAAATCACAGTATGGCAAAGCATAGCAAAATGAGGTATGCCTGCACAGATGGGCTGTGCTGTTCCGGACAGAGCCAGGAGGAAGAGCCTGGAGGCCCGGTTCAACGATGCTTCCTTTAACAGTTGTGAAAAGAAGAGACGAAACACCAGAAGCTGGAGTGACGAAAAAGATTCATTTATGTAACATGTCTACAGTTTACAGAGGGCTTTTGTTTACACAATCTCACGTTACTCTCAGAATGATTTGCAAAGTAGAACACTTCGTCACATTTCACAAGTAAGGAACTGCTGCTTAGAAAAATGCTATCACCTGTGGCCATGCTTCCTTTGTGGGTTTTGGGGGCACCACCTTCTTCAGCCATTTTTTCCCTCCTCCTCTTTTCTCTCTTGGGAAAGGCTTTTTCTTTGGTGAAAGTGAAAGTGTTAAGTTGCTCAGTCGCAGCCGACTCAGTGACCCCATGGAAATCTCCAGGCAAGAAACTGGAGTGGGTACCTCCCCTTAAAATACATGCCAATGGGCCTTTCCTCTTCTCCTGCTGGTACCCTCTCATTAGGTGGCCTCATCCACTCTCATGTTCAGCCATCACACGTAACTGACAGCTGCCAAATCTACAATGCAGAGCCTGGAATCCTCCGAGGAGCACTTGACCTATACACACAACTTCTGCCTCGTAGCCAAGGCCTGCAGAGGCAGCTGGCAGGGACTGTGAGGAGGGAGGAGGCTGGTGTTCAGCTGAGGGACAAAAGCCACTGGAGCTTGGAGGTGTGCGAATCCTACGTACTTGGCAGGATTTTCCAGCATGTTGATTTTTTATTCCTAAGCTAACTCTTTTTTCTACATGGTCCTAATCTCACCTGACTTCAATTCTGTCTTTCAAAGTGACAGAAGTTTAAAATATGAATCTGAATGATACAAGAATTTTGAATGGTATGAGACAAGCATTATCAGTCTAATTATACCATTCACTCACTCACTCACCTGATTTGTTCAAACATTTATCGAGCGCTTTTCAATTGCCAGGAGTGGCGCAAAGCGTTGGGCTTAACAATGATTAAGACAAAGTCCCCCAAGGAGCTCACAGTCTAATGGTAAACTACTGAGTAAACTGAGGCACAGAGTGGTAATGACTTACCCGCTGAGGTAGAAAGAGCGAGGTGCTCGGGAACATGGAACTAGAGCTGGAGAGAGGGCAGGGGACCACTGACTCATTGTAAATAAACCCCTCTGGTTGAAAAGCAAGGCTGTGTACAGAAACATATTACAAAACCTTGCAAAAAAGGTTAAAATAGTTTCAACTGTCACCATGACTGAACTCATGTCTTGCAAGGAATTCAGTCATGAGCTGGTGGCATTTCTGCACTTGTCCCCAAAGCTTGGGACACGCCAGCGGTCTGCTTGGACACAACGACCACAATGACTCTGTAGGGAGCCTGAAGTCCAACTTTAGCACTGGGAAACCATTCTGAAATACTTGCATTAAATCCACAAACTTTAACTGCACACATATTTATGGTACTTCTACATGTAGAAGTTAGGGAAAAAACTCTCCTCTAACCCTCATTCGGAGGATTCTAATAAGTTATAGATACCACAGAAATTAGAGAATATGTCTGTTACTTTCCATATTTACATTTTGGCTGTACAAGGGTGAATAGTCTCACTCAGACGTATTTCACAAGTGATCTAGACATTATACAAATATGTACAAAGACACCACATCAGGTGTGTGCACACACCCATCCATGCAGACATGAACCCATGTAAGGCAACTTCTTTTGTGACAACAACATGCGATCCGCGCAACAAAGGGCAGAGTCCACGAGGAGCTGTCCACCCCGCCTGCCTGCTGTTTCAGTGACAGTTGTGTGATTCAATAATTTCTGTAGGCAAGATGACTGCTTCACTGGCAAAAAAGCAGTGAATAATTATAAAAAGAGCTGTTTTCAAATGCAGAAACCGCCATTATCCAGCAATCTAAAGAGCAAAGTGCTTGGAGGCACTCCTGGCCTTCTTGCAGCTACCAAGAATGAGAAAACAGCAGGGACAATTTATTGCTCTGAGGATCTTCATCCACACAGGAGTCCAAGAGACTCCATGCATGGACCCTCAAACACCATCAGTTGCTCACTTCAAGCACTTCTTCACTTTGATGTGGAGGATTTTCTTCTGAAAGATAACAAACACAGGAGAAATCTTCCTAAATGAAGGTCTCAAAGGCAGGCAGCTAAGAGAACATTCAAATTTTTAAGACAAAATAGGAAGACCTCAGTCAAGAACCATATTCTTACATGAGTGGCATAAGGCTAATGTTTCCAGTCTCACAAGAATAATAAAACCAGGACTCAAGCATGACCCTGAGGACCTGGGTCAGAGGATCAGACAGCCTTCTCTACAGAGACCACACTCCAAAACCAACTACAATTCTAACTTTTCACAGATATCAAAATTACACGGGATTTAACAACAGGGTTGTTAGAAACAGTAAGCAACTATAGTAAGAATTACCCTGTAATTTTTAACTCATGTTTTTGTAGCTAGGAAGAGTAAAAATATCTGTAAGGCCATAATCATTTTATGAATGTTATTCATAAATATTCATATCCATAATATTCATTTGTTAAACTATATACATTTAAAAAATCATTAGAATCTTAAATTTTCCTAATCACAAAATCGGCCTGTTTACCTTTCTCAGGTTGAGGGTGCTCCGAAGGCTTGCTTTTGGATGAAGAGGTCCCTACACTGTCTGACGTTTTATTACTTGAATGGGAACCCTGCTCCACTTCACATAAATAAACGTCAATGGGTCCTTTGGTGCTCCTGATATGTACTGTGATAGAATCCTAGCACAAGATACAGAAAGCATTAAGATGAATGAGAGGATTCACGAATTACATTTTTTTACTTTCTAGAACTGTAGAAGTTTCAAGGGACACTTCTGGAAATTCTCATCCAGGTAGTTTCTTTGCTGTCATATATTTGAGAATATCATGTATTTGCTTAGTCTGAACCACAGGAAGCACTCATTAGGAAGCATCACCTCGAAGTCACAATTTGAGTGTGACTGGAATAAACAAAAGGTGTTCCTTAACTGTAATACACTGTCCAGTAACAGCTAGGGTCTCACATGGACTGTGGTCTTCTGGGGATAAAAGGGGAAGGTGGGTGAGAGTCACCTCACTGAGGGAGGTGAAGTCCCCTATTGCAATGAAGAGGACACAACTTCAGCGCTGACGGGTCTATCAGGCCATCAGCACTCCATCTGTCCTAAGAATGGTCTCACTCCTTGGTTGAGTCCACCCTGAATGCATCTATCAACAAGTATCTTTCAACACAAACTTTCTTGCAAGCAGCTGACAGTATTTCCATTTACACATTAATTTTACTTTTCATTTTAAATGTTTAATTTAGTGTCCTCCTTAATTTGTGAGTCTTTTATGAGTTTGGTTAGTGAGTTAATTCCCCAGAGCCCTGTTTGACACTGGATCTTAACACTGAGGCCAATTCTTGGTGATTCCTCTAAGAGGCCATGATAGTACAATGGCTGAGAACAGACTCTGAAGCCAAACTGTCTGGGTTTGAATTCTGTTTTTCTCACTTACTGTATGATGGTAAGAAAGTTTATCTTTCTGTGCTTTAGATTTCTCATCTGTAGAGGATACTAGTCATGACTGCTGAGTTTGCTGTGTTACTCAGAACACATTAAACACATTAAAATGGGTGAAGTGCCTTGAGCTGTGGATTAGGTATGCAGCTAACATGCACACACTAGTTATCAAGTTACTGGGACTGCAACAACGCATAGTCCAAGTAGCTGGCTTGCCTCCCTTTGTTGTTGTTTAGTCATACAGTTGTGTCCAATTCTTTGTGACTCATGGACTGCAGTCCACCAGGCTCCTCCGTCCATGGGATTTTCCAGGCAAGAACACTGGAGTGGGTTGCCATTTTCTTCTCCAGGGAATCTTTCCAACACAGGGATTGAACCCGTTATCTCCTGCATTGTAGGCGGATTCTTTACTGCTGAGCCACCAAGAAAGCCCCTGTTTCCCTTTAAACGTTCTTAAGAACAGGGGGGTGCAGAATTCTTGCTTGGAGAATCCCCATGGACAGATGAGCTTGGCGGGCTAAAGTCCATGAAGTGGCAAAGAGTCTGACATGACTTGAGCAACTAAGCACTCGCACACACACACAGACTCAAAAGCAGGGCTACCTACCTTCCTGGGAGCTGGAACATCCAATCTGGTTTCTGCCGGTGCTTTAACTGCGATTACAATCTGTTCATGGAAGGCTTGGATGCTATGAATGTCTTGATACGTCACATATGCTAGTGTAAAAATCAGTTAAGGGTCTCTAAGCAGAGGGTGCAGATTAAAAGTTATTTCATATGTAATTCTTACTATTTCATCAACGATCCTTAGGATTTTACGAAGTGTTTTACAATATAACTCAAAAGAATTCTTTTATACTACTATGATAGTGATAACACTTTCTGGACAAAAAATAGTAATAAAGTCTGGGTGTTTAAAACAAAGACAATACATGAAGGTATTCAAACCTCCCTGCACGTTTCCCTATCATTGCTACATCTTATGAGAATCCCTGGAGAAAAAAAAAGTGTTTTGATAAGAATCTCCTAAAATGTAAGGGAGAAAGAATCTGTTAGTAGTAGAAACAACTTAGAAAACCAGTTTTTCAGGACTATCAACTACTCATGGGACTGCTCTCATCCCAAACTATTTTCAATCTTGCTACCTTAATTTTTCTCATCTTCTTTTATTGTGTTGCTTGAAATTTTACCACTTACCTGATTTAAAGGGTATCCCCAGCATTTTTTTTTTAAACTCCACAGACCTTTTTGACTGTGTCCAGTGACAGCATTTACTTTCCTTCTAATAACTGTATTGTGGAAATAGGAGTTTTTGACTGGGGTAGAATTTAAGTAAATTTGAAACATGGCCTAGCTCAGTATCAGTGACACCTCAGAAAGGTGCTGCATGGGGAACATGGCAGCAAAACTGTCTAGGAGACTTGGAAGGAGATCAGAATCAAAGACAATCTCCCCCTCTGGTGCCAGAGACACTGTCTTGAAGAGCATGACCATCCAACTGTGTCAGGCTTCGGGGACTGGAAAGGCAGTTTCAGTATCATTTCTATGGCAGTTCATTCACTTCTAAAGGTCTGATTTTGTATCTTAAATATATTAATTAAATTACCAAGCTGAGCCTACTATTTAAGGTAATTGCTTTGGGAGAATTTTTTTTTTTTAAAGGTACAGATTAAAGGATATCTTTCATTTTCTTTGTCATCTGTCAACTCAAACAACTGCTGAGCACAATCCTTGATTAACTCATCCAGGGCATCTTCCATTGCTGATAAGTCAGATAGCTCCTCCTGCAGCTTCTTCTGTTGGGGCACTGCTCCAAAATTGCTAAGATCAGAGCCTCTTTAAAAGAAAAAGATCCCCATCAACAACATCTGGGAGATTACAAATTAATACAAGTTAGGTTACTGGAATGTCTCCAGAAGTTTACACCTGGTGTCTCCCACAAGAACAGACAATAGGTAACAAACTCCACTCCTGCTCTCCTGTTATTCTAGACAACCATTACTTCTCTTTGGTTTTTGTCCCTATTTCTATTCCCTGACAAAGAAACTTTAAAAACAAAAAGAACATCACAACCCTCTGGAAATCAGTTCTACAGAAAGCTTACTAAAGTTCAATGAGCAGTGAACTGAGTCATAGCACCTAGTTTCAGCCCAGCTCTGCTTTCCACAGTATGACTTTTGACAAGTTCTTGTCCATCTGTGTTTGTGCTCATTCGTGTCTCTTTTGTGACCCTTTGGACTGTGGCCTGCCAGGCTCCTCTGTCCGTGGGATTTTCCAGGCAAAGATACTGGAGTGGGTTGCTGTTTCCTCTTCCAGGTGATCTTCCTGACTCAGAGATCAAACCAGTTTCTCCTGTGTCTTCTGCACTGCAGGTGGATTCTTTACCCACTGAGCCATGGGAGAAGTCCTTTTGACAAGTTACAGTCTTATGGCAGAAAGTGAAGAACTAAAGAGCTTTTTGATGAAAGTGAAAGAGGAGAGAGAAAAAGTTGGCTTAAAGCTCAACATTCAGAAAACTAAGATCATGGAATCCGGTCCCATCGCTTCATGGCAAATAGATGGGGAAACAGTGGCTAACTTTATTTTTCTGGGTTCCAGAATCACTGCAGATGGTGACTGCAGCCATGAAATTAAAAGACGCTTACTCCTTGGAAGGAAAGTTATGACCAACCTAGACAGTATATTAAAAAGCAGAGACATTACTTTGCCAACAAAGGTCCATCTAGTCAAGGCTATGGTTTTTCCAGTAGTCATGTATGGGTGTGAGAGTTGGACTATAAAGAAAGCTGAGCACAGAAGAATTGATGCTTTTGAACTGTGGTGTTGGAGAAGACTCTTGAGAGTCCCTTGGATTGCAAGGAGATCCAACCAGTCCATCCTAAAGCAGATCAGTCCTGGGTGTTCACTGGAAGGACTGATGCTGAAGCTGAAACTCTGATACTTTGACCACCTAATGCGAAGAAGTGACTCATTTGAAAAGACCCGGATGCTGGGAAAGATTGGGGGCAGGAGGAGAAGGGGACGACAGAGGATGAGATGGTTGGATGGCATCACTGACTCAATGGACATGGGTTTGGGTGGACTCCAGGAATTGGTGATGGACAGGGAGGCCTGGCGTGCTGCGGTTCATGGGGTCACACAGAGTCGGACACGACTGAGCGACTGAACTGAACTGAACCCTTTAGTTTTTACACATGAAAAATAGCACATACTGGCCAAACGACAGTTCATCTGCTAAAATTCTTAGTCTTTAGTTTTCCCTACAGTGCATATTTAATCTGGTTCTACCTGAAAATAATAATTTTTCAAAGATTTATTTTCTTTATTACAGTCTGCCCCAATATGATGTGACTTGAGCAACTATCAATATTCATTCTTTTCTTCGATCTTTATAGAAAATTAAGAGGGGACAGGCTGTTACAACTTTACCTTTTGCTTGCTAGTTCTCAAATCTGATTCTAATTAATGACTTAGAACATAATCTGACATTAGCCCCTAAAATGTTAGCTATTATTCAGCTGCTGCTGCTGCTAAGTGGCGTCAGTCGTGTCCGACTCTGCAAACATGTTCAAATTAAAATTCAATTTGAATTTCTGTACTACTGAAAAAATAACCTCCTTTATGAACCCCTTTCCCCTAATAGCGAAGTTAACTACTGAGAATCATTTTAATGATCTTTGCTGGTAGATTTTTCTTTTGCCTGCAAGGTATCTAGGTACTTATATGCTGGAACTGTTTCTTACTGATTCAAAATAGTTGTGTGTTGTTAAGTATAACCGCTCCGTTCCTTTGTGTGTGTGTGTGTCCCCCACGCTTATCTATATGTAATATCTACATTTATACCATAAGGTCTTTTCCTGAAATCCTTCCTAATCATACGCTAAGTATTTACCAATTAAATCTGAGATACACAGCCTCCTGAATTTTTTTTTTTTAACATTCAGGGAATTGCTTCCAAGCCTGACCTGCACCATAACCCGGAGATCGCTGTTAAGAAGGCAGGTATCTGCGTTCCCCCAGAACTGAACTACAGCCCTTTGGGAGGAGACTTCTCCATGGTCACCCCACTCCAGTGCAAGAACCACTGTTTTACCACCGTAACTGATTCCCCCTGGTATCAATGATCAACTGGAACTGAGGAAATATTTTTTTTTAAAAATTCCTACACAATCAGATGCCCACTTATCTTGAAAAGTGAAATTCCTAAAACTAATCATGACTCCACTCAGCTTTTCCATAATATTGGGATGATATTATATGGCTTTTAATTGGTACCAAATAGGAAAAAAGAAAACAAACCATTGATAGTACCTAGTTTGTTTTAAGCACAGTATTGTCACTTATTGAGGAGAAAAAAAAACATGAAAAGTTTGAAAACAACTCACATCCACCGAATATGGTTCTTGGACTTCTTTTCAACCAGGTCGATTCCATCTAAGACGTTGGTGATGTCATACACTCTTCGTTTTCGTACTCCCAGTTTCGTTGCAACCTTGTTTAAGTCAAGAATGCCCCCAGGAGCAGATCTGACAAGATCCATAAATTTTCGAGTTAAATAAACCAGTGATACATCAAAACGAGGTCTCTTCACTTTTAGTGCTTCTGGGAAACAAAACAAACACAATTCGTAAAATTTTAAATAGCATTTCTTTCTCAATTCATTAAAAAGACCATTTATTTCTTCTTGATCAATAACCACAGACACCTACAGATATTCTACTCACTGACCAAATCATAGCTAATTTTTACAAAATCGACTTCTCAAAATGGATGAAAACTTATTAGCCTATTCCAGGTAAACAAAGGCTTTAGACTTAAAGGAATATTTGAAATATGCAACCAGTTTCCACGGAGTATGTGAATCTGAATGGCATCATATCAGACATAAATGGTGAGCCTGCATCTATATCCATACCACTCTCAGGAATAGGATTAGAAATAATGTTTAGAATCAAATTTCTCATTTGGTCCTCAAGTCAGGAAATTCTTTATGAAGCAAAGTTAGAGATTTAGCTTTAAAAAAAAAAAAGGTTTAAAATGTCCCTATACGTATCATAGTGTAAACCAAACTGATGAAATCTGGAAAGGGCTCAAATCAGTCTTCTAATTAGCATGGTTAGGATATACCTTGAGGGAAAGTGACATGACTATTTTTCAAAATATTCATTACCCTATATTAACAGATAAGCAAATGAATAGGGAAAAATCTCTTTAATTCCCTCATTTACTCATTACTACGGTTTTCCAGATACCCCCTGACACTACACACTTTCACATGCCCACGTCAATATGTAAATATATATAGCTTTAAAAAACGAGAATAGAAACATACCACTTTTTAACATACTGTTTTTTAATTCAGTATTATGAACATCCTGATGTGTCAACAAATTTATTTCAACTTTATTCTTTATGGCTGCATATTTAACTGCGGAATATGTGCTCAGCTCAGCCCAATGCTGGAAATTAAAATTATCTCTAATTTTACTATTTTGCACAATACTTCAGTGAATCTCCTAGAAGCTGAATTTTTGCATGCGTCTTTGTTTCCTTTAGATAAGTTTCAGGATGTGGAATTGTTGAGTAAAAGTGTATTTTTAAATGCTGCCAAATCTGCTATTCAGGATGTGGGTTCTATCAGTTTTACAAAGTTTATAAGGGCCTCCTCTCTTGCCCTTGCCAAAACTGAAGATTATCATTCTTTCCATCTTTCCCAGTTTGATACATGGGAAATAGATGGGGAAACAGTGGAAACAGTGTCAGACTTTTATTTTTTTGGGCTCCAAAATCACTGCAGATGGTGATTGCAGCCATGAAGTTAAAAGATGCTTACTCCTTGGAAGGAAAGTTATGACCAACCTAGATAGCACATTAAAAAGCAGAGACATTACTTTGCCAACAAAGGTCCGTCTGGTCAAGGCTATGATTTTTCCAGTGGCCATGTATGGATGTGAGAGTTGGACTGTGAAGAAAGCTGAGTGCCAAAAAGTTGATGCTTTTGAACTGTGGTGTTGGAGAAGACTCTTGAGAGTCCCTTGGACTGCAAGGAGATCCAACCAGTCCATCCTAAAGGAGATCAGTCCTGGGTATTCATTGGAAGGACTGATGCTGAAGCTGAAACTCCAATACTTTGGCCACCTCATGTGAAGAGTTGACCCATTGGAAAAGACCCTGATGCTGGGAGGGATTGGGGGCAGGAGGAGAAGGGGATGACAGAGGATGAGATGGTTGGATGGCATCACCGACTCAATGGACACAAGTTTGAGTAAACTCCGGGAGTTGGTGATGGACAGGAAGGCCTGGTGTGCTGCGATTCATGGGGTCGGCAAAGAGTCGGACACGACTGAGCGACTGAAATGAACTGAACTGAACTGAATGGTTCTTATGGTTTAGTGTGCAGAGGAAATAAATTCTACAAATAATTTAGCTGTCCTCCTAGTGTGGAGTATGTAATTACATTTTTTTCCCTACCTCACAGCATACCACAGAATGCTTCAAAGGAAACAGTCATCCTATCTTCAATCAGAAATGCTCTTCTCCTGAACCTCTATGATATTACATTCAACTTAAAGACCACTGGTGGTTACTCCAAGAAACAAAAGGACATATTTTATAATGTAAATGTCTTCTATGTGGAGACCACTCCTATACTTAAAAGATTAAACAGGATTAAATAGGAATTAAATTTTTTTTTTTAAAAAGTAGAAGATAGTCATCATTCTATAAAACCTTGCAAGATTACAAATGAGAAATTCTGACTTTAAAAACATTTACATCTGACTCTTGACCAAGACAAGAGTTAACCTATGTATAATCTACTATATAATTTGAATCCTATCTGCAGATTCAATCAATCCATCTGTTTGGCTGAAATCACCATCGTGTTTCTGTGTTAAGAGAGACCCCATGGGCAGCAGGGAGGGCCTGGCATAGACGACTGGCGTGGGCAGTTGTGCCAGGGTGGCCTGCGCAGGGAGCAGAACCTGACCCAGGGATAAGACCGCACACTTGAGTCTGGGCAGGCGGATGAATTCTGACTGGACAAGTTACTTAACCCCTCTGGGCCTCCATTTACTTGTCCATCAAATAGGAATAATAATCTCTACCTTTACTTTGAAAGGTTGCTGTGATAATCCATGTAAGGAGCTGAATACAGGCCAGGCACTGCATGAGCTCAATACATGAGACATGAGTGTAAGTCATGGCATGGGGCAGACGAAGGAAATGCTTCCAGAGGAAAACGGAGGGCCAGATATGGGTGGGACTGTGGGGGTTGCTGAGGAGAAATGAAGGCTAACGTTAAGATTCACACTGGATGTCTAGGCATCGTGTATCCCCCGAGATTAGGACAGGAGTAAATGGAAAGAGCACAAGGAACCACAGGAAACCAGGAGGGCAAAGACTGTCCTCACGTTTGTTGCCAAACCGCCTGCAATTCCACTGATGACAACAACTGCTCTCAGAGAACTCCGGGAAATATCCCTAAACACGGACCATTTAGGAAAAAAAAAAAAAAAAGACATTTCCAAAGCAATGAAGAATAAACTGGCATTTGTGCACATTGACAGCCCACAACCTCAGAGTTTTTGCTGAAATTCCAAGATTGACATTTCAGTTTATAAATAGTACACTTTATTTAAGTTACTCATCAACTCAGGTACTTTTAAAATAAATTACTGAAATCATAAGAAGGTCAAACGGTAAAACCTAAAACCTATTTAGGAATCAACTTACTTCTCATGGACACATATTGTACGTTATCTTCTAAATTAATCCTTATTTTTGATGGCTGGAAAAGAGAAGATACAGAAATTTAACTGAGTAATTTAAATACAAGCAAATGAATAGCAAAAAAAAAAAAACCAAAAAAACAAACACAATGCAAATTAACAGCATTTTACTGGATAATATAAACGTTTGTCCTTTTTTTCACCCTGGGAAATGATTATGGTGTGAGGAAACCAGTCCTTCTCCTAAACTACATTTATGCTAACTGTCATCACATCTGACAGAGTTTACACACTTGCATTTCTGAAACTGCACAGGCCTCCATAGGTACGGAAAGTGGAAGTGAAAGTCGCTCAGTTATGTCCAACTCTCGTCCATGGAATTCTCCAGGCCCAGAATACTGGAGTGGGTAGCCTTTCCCTTCTCCAGGGGATGTTAGCAACCCAGGGATCGAACCCAGGTCCCCCTCATTGCAGGCGGATTCTTTACCAGCTGAGCCACAAGGGAAGCCCATAGCTACAGAAGCAGTAGTTAAAGAGGTGGGGTGGGGGGAGAAAGGAAGGGTGGTGGCAGTAGAGAACGAATATTGGAATTTATTACTACATGGACATTAATTTACTGACTGTCTCAGGTACTAGGGATAAAGGGGAATTCAGAGGTGATCAGGACTCTGTCTCTGATCAGGATTTGTCTCTGACTCTGGAAGGTGAGGGAGAGATCTACACCCAAACTAACAAATGCTCACCCTTTGCTAACTCAGTGTTAAGTGCCTCCAGAGAAATGAGCTCACAAACTTTCATTTTCAAAAGCAGTCATGCAGTCCCATGATAATTAATGTAAAAACAGCATTTCTAATCATGGAAAATAATGCATGCAACATAACTGGAAACTTCGGTATTAGATTAATAAAACACTTCTTGTAAATCCCTTAGGCAACCAGGAAATTAGTATAACAGTAGCTCCACTGGCATTGCTCATCATTTTACTACCTACTTAAAGGCTATGAAGGCTTACATGAACTTGCTGTAACATCTGCAGTACACTTAAAAATTGTTTTTTGCAAAACATATATAAATCCTAACCATGAAGCTAATGAAGAGAAACCCATATTAGCCTTTTGCTTAGAACAAAGTATAATGATATCATGTGTCTCCAGACAGGCTGTGGGTGGGTTTAGCTTCTGTTTAAGTGAAAAAACTGCCCTCAATGGGGCCACAGCAAAACTGGGGGATTCATGAGGAGCTCTAAGAGAAGAGTCACCAGAACTCTGGGGTGTAGCCAGCAATTCTCAGGAGAGGGACCCCCCCAGCCAAGCCTTGGAAGACAAGCCAGATTTTGCAGGAACCTGTGGGGGAGGTTGGAGAGAGAAGATAAATAATTCTTGGTGCAGGAAGTGACATGAATAAAGGTATGGAAATACAAACTACCTGGCACCTTTCGCGAGGCCACCTGGCTGGCCAGTGTGAAATCGACTTGTCACTGAGGCTGGAAGGGCCTGCCAGCACCATGCTTGACACGGAGGACTGTGAAAGTCATGCCCTGGAGTTTGGCCTTTAGGCTGTAACCAGTGCAGAAATGCCACAGATTTCTGAACAAGACATGACATCCTTGGGCTCATGGTTCAGAGATCTAAGTACGGTGGCAATACGCCAAAAAGACTGAGGAACAGGGAAGCCTGAAGGCGAGGGGAGCAGCTAAGCAGCTCTCTCCCTGCTGGTGTTACTATACAAGACTTGGCACGATGGTTCCCTTATCATTCACAACAAGATGATGGCATCTGTCAGCAAGCTAACTTGATACAGAATAACGCCCCTGAAGGAGAATTCCACTTTAAAATGAATTTAGTCGTTGGAATTTAAACACCTGCAGGTACACCTGCCGGGTGCAAAACCGGAGTGGGGAGAGCCTGTCCTGCGGCAGGGACTCTGCCTGGCTGGCTCTCAGTGCAGGCCGACAACAGGGACAGGCTGAAAGAAAGCGGAGCTGCTCACTCGTGGCCAGCTCTCTGCGACCCCATGGACTGTAGCCCACCAGGCTCCTCTGTCTATGGTGATTCTCCAGGCAAGAGTACTGAAGTGGGTTGCCATTTCCTTCTCCAGGGGATCTTCCCAACCCAGGGATCAAACCTTGGTCTCCCACACTGCAGGCAGACTATTTACCCTCTGAGCCACCAGGGACACATTGAAGGGCAGTCCTATTGAAGCCAAACTTCAGACCGGGGTGACCAACGGTCACTGCTATTTTTACATTCAACCCTTCTGCTAAAAGACTATGAGACAGAGTTGAACTACTGATGCAAAATTTCTTAAAAGAAAAAAAAAAATCCATCCTTATCACAGGGACCTGAAACACCCATCAACAAACACACTAAGTTGCTACACTACTTCAATCACTGTAGTGCCACAATCAACCCTGAGAACGCACGTGGACGGGATTAACAGAGCAGCAGCCGCAGGGGTCGTGCTGCAGACAAGACTTGTTCTTGGTTCAGGGCGGGAGGGCCCAGGCCCCCACTCGTGCTACCTCCCCATCTGCTCTTCGCATGTGCTCCAAGGGTGCCTTCCCTGCTCCAGACCCCTCCCTCTGGTCTCCTTATCTAGAAGGCTGCTATTCATGGCTTGGCACAGGGATGGTGGTACCTCAATTAGTAACATGAGAATGTATGATTTTCTTTCCCCCACATTCTTTGCTATAAACTACGTATGGGCTATACTGAGATCTGTGGGGGGTTTTGCCTCCCCACCCCTCACCAAACAAAAAAACCCTCTCTATTTTGGAGGACGCACGATAGCATCATGGCCTCTCAGGGGCAGACCTCCCAAGTAAAGATGGTGTAAATCCTACAGACCTACAATTCGAGCCCACTTTCCAAGCTATTGTGAAGATCAAATGACCAATCCTGTACACTGTAAAAATCCCAAGAATGCATAAGAGACTATTATTGTTGTTGTCCTGTTTGAACCAGAACAGTTCTTGGCACATTCAGGCACTTGGTAAACATTTGTTAAACTAATGAATGGAAGAGTGAAATAGGATCTTGTCATGGATGACGTCAACTGATAAACAACAATGTGTATTTACAGACACAGGGACACGGGGAAAAGATGCCCTCTTGGATACCCCATCTGTAAGGATCACTGAGATTAGGAGGCCTCATGTTCTGTTTTCTAATACAAATTTATCATCTGGGGAGATTCAGTCTGACATCCTGATTGGCCTTTCCAGCTATGCTAACTCTGGTGAACCACATTCGACAAACAGGTGAGGAGCTTTTCCTTGTCTCACAGGCCTAAAGATCTGGAGGAACTATATTTGAAGCTGTACTTAACGAGCTACATTGAAGGAGCCTGAACTCCTATCTTATTCTGAGTATAAAATCTGGTATTTTGAGGCTCAAGTTATCCCAGATTCGGCCAATGGGAACCTTTTCAAAGTGGCTCCTGCAGAGGACACATCTTTTACCTTCTCGGTGTCTCGAGGATGGCAGTCCTCAGAGGAACATCCTCAAACTTCTGTGGCACTAGATGCTGCTGCTTCTAGTGCTGACAGCCCACCCCTGGGGGCACTGCCAACATTTCTGTTCCTTCAAGGAAGCCTCCCTGAGAGGCCACGCTCAGGCATCTCCCTGAAGACCTGCCCTCGGACAGCCTGCTCTGCTCAGTAGCGTCTGCCTCTCTGTGACCCCCAGACTGTCGCCTGTGCGCCTCTGGCCATGGGATTTCCTAGGCAAGAATACTGGAGTGGGTTGCCATTTCCTCTTCCAGAAGATCTTCCTGACCTAGGGATCCCACCCGTGTCTCCTGCATCTCCTGCATTGGCAGAAGATTCCTTACTGCTGAGCCAGCAGGGGAACCCAAAAGAGAGCCTGGTAGCAGCCAAACCTCAAGACTGGGCTTCCTAAAAAAGCCTGCGGTTCAAACACTCAAACTGCTCTCCTCACTTGTTAGGGTCTATTAGTCTGTCTCCATCCTGAAACTACAGTGGCTGCGCTCAGCGCACACAGCTCTCTAGGAACCAGCAGCTCCTGGTGGGCAGGTCAGCACATTCCAAGTCATTTCACTGATGCTCCAAGTTCCCACATCTCAAAACCTACACTTTGCAATTTGAGATCTCAAAGGAGAGAGAAGTAAAAGGTGAGTTTTAGGGGCTAAAATCTTAAACACTGCTTCTAAATTGGTTAAAAATGTCTCTATACAGAGATGCTCGCGTGTCCTGAATCAGCCTGTTTGGGTGAGTAATATCCCTTTAAGAGCTCTGCAGGCACATACCTTTTTCCAGGGGTCTGCTTTCTAGTCACACATGCAAATTTTCCTTACTTTTCAATGTGCAGACTAAATCCTATCTCTAATCATGTTCTGCCTTGTAAAATCCCAGTTTTTAAGCCATTTACCCCTGGGGGGAACATCAAACACTCAGCTGTACACAAAACTATTTTTTTTGCATAGCATTTAATAATACATAGTCTACTAAACACTTCTAGTCATTATCCAATTTTTCTAAAAACTGCTGAGAGAGGTGTTGAAATCACCATTTCACAGCCAGGAAAATAAACATTCATACATTCAAACATTGGGAGGGTACCTACTTCATTCACTTAACAGCTATTTACCAAAATAGTTTTTTTGTTTTTGCAAGAAGCCCCAAGATACGCTGGGGATGTACCAATGAAAGGCCAGAGTGGCTGCCCAGGGCCTGAAGTGCCCCCATGCTGAGGAAGGGGTAACGCAGGAAGCTCACAGGAGTGCCCAGCCCAGCCCAGAGGCTGGGTCAGCAAGGCTACCCACAAATGACCTGTAATGGGAACCACAGGAGGTAACAAGGCAAAGTGTGCTCTAAAGAAAAAAAATTTTTAAAGGGGGAAGTACAGATATACAGAAGTCCAGAAGAATATAGACATATGGAAAATTCAGCAACCATAAGCAGTTCAGCAAAGATAAACCCAGGAGTCTGATGACATTAAGAAGTTTCTCCTCTATGATGAGAGCAGCTAGGAACCACGATAAGATTCTTTTAAGCCAAATGACATGATCAGAAATACACTTTAAAAAGACCATCATGGTTAGTTACTATGTGGAGACTATATAGAAAAATCAGGGGCAAGATGAGAAGCAGGAAAACTAGTTGAGAAGATAGCAATCCGAAAGGCAGATGACAGCTAGAAGTGGCAAGTACTGGTGACTAATTTCTATTAGACAGGATGGAGGGGTTCCATTCGGAAAAGGTAAAGATGATGCGCAGGATACCAACTAGGGCAATATGGAGGGTGCGAGATCGAGAGTTGTTGCTTAAGCAAGAGAATGAATTCCACTTCAGGTATATGAGTTTGAAATCTAGATAGAGGTGTGTAGTAGACAATTGGAAAGCTCTGAGCCCAATTTACAGATTTGGGAGTCATGACATGGTAACCAAAACTACCAGAGTGGATTGTTGTTGTTTAGTTACTAAATTGTGTCCACTCTTTTGTGACCCCATGGATTGTAGCCCGACAGGCTCCTCTGCCCATGGGATTTCCCAGGCAAGAATACTGGAGTAGGTTGCAATTTTCTTCTCCAGGGAATCTTCCCTACCCAGGGAAATGAATCTGTGTCTCCTGCACTAGCAGGCGAATTCTTCACCACTGAGCCATCAGAGAAGCCCTACCAGAGTGGGACTATCTGAAATTTCAAGGGATACGTGTATCTTCTGATAGTAAATGCAAAATAAAGTGTTTTTTCTAGAGTAAGAGTTCAGAGCTTTTGTCAAATTCTAAAATAATAAGAAGAAAGTCTGTGACAAACCTAGATGGCATATTAAAAAGCAGAGACTTTGCCGACAAAGGCCCATCTAGTCAAAGGTATGGTTTTTCCAGTAGTCATGTATGAATGTGAGAGCTGGACCATAATGAAAGCTGAGTGCTGAAGAATTGATGCATTTGAACTGTGGTGTTGGAGAAGACTCTTCAGAGTCCCTTGGGCTGCAAGGAGATCCAACCAATCAACCCTAAAGAAAATCAGTCCTGAATATCCACTGGAAGGGCTGAAGATGAAGCTGAAGCTCCAGTACTTTGGCCACCTGATGCAAAGAACTGACTCAGTGGAAAAGATCCTGGTGCTGGGATAGACTGAAGGCAGGAGGAGAAGGGGACGACAGAGGATGAGATTGTTGGATGGCATCACCGACTTGATGGACATGAGTTTGAGCAAGCTCCAGTAGTTGGTGATGGACAGAGAAGCCTGGTGTGCTGGAAAATTCAGCAACCATAAGCAGTTCAGCAAAGATAAACCCAGGAGTCTGGTGACATTAAGAAGGAGTCCACAGGTGGCAGAGAGTCAGAGAGTCAGACACAACTGAGCTAAACTGAAAAGAATAAGACCACCAGTACAAATAGTAACAGAAGTCACAAGAGTGCTGACTGACACCCCATATGAAGAAACTGTGGAGAAGGCTGAAGAGCCGAATAAGACCAACATGAAAGGGATGGGAAAAGGAAGAGTTTACAAAAGACAACACGAGAGACCAGAGAGGCAGATGGAGTGCTGAGAGTTATGTGTCCAAGGGGATGTCAATGGTGAGTTTCCAACAGAGTGAGTGGTCCATCGTGTTAAAACCACATGTGCTGGACCTGACAAGGTTGCTGGCAACCTTGGTTAGGACAGTCCTAGAGTTGTGCTTAGGGCTGAGGTCCCCCAGCAGCAGGTCAAGGTGGTAATGAGATGTGAGCAAGAAGACCCAGAGTGCAAACAACTTTTTCAAAGAGTTTGGCTGTGAAGGGGAAGTGATATAGTAGGCGAAAGACATAAGGGATTAAAGGAGGGATCTCTCAAAATGGAAATGGATTTAGGACATGGTTGGGTGGGGGAAGATCCAATGGAGAAGGGATAGGTTACCCACTCCAGTATTCTTGGGCTTCCCTTGTGGTCCAGCTGGTAAAGAATCTGCCTGCAATGCGGGAGACCTGGGTTCGATCCCCGGTTTGCAAAGATCCCATGGAGAAGGGAAAGGTTACCCACTCCAGTATTCTGACTTGGAGAATTTCATAGTCTGTATAGTCCATGGGGTCGCATGAGCAACTTTTCACTTCACTTTCAAGTAGTTGAGAATTTACCATCCAGAGTCAGACACTGGGAGATTCAAGCCAGGCTTTTTTACTTACTAACCACAGAAAAACCACTTAACATCTCCAAGTCTATCTTGGCAACTGTCAAACAAGAATAATCCCTTAGGACCGTTGTGCAGAATTAAATGAGATGGCGCTCATCAACTGTTTTGGAGCACTGAGTCCTCCTGGTGTCTGGATAATCTACTTCAGGAAATATTTATTTACTAGTAACGGGAAGAAACCAGCAGAGAGGTCGAGAATGCGGGGAGAAATGGGAACTGACGGGTTTCTTCCACAGAAAAGTCCTGATAATCAAGGAGAATACACTGCATGCAGTCCAGAGCAACAGAAGAATTAAACGTTTCACAGGGAGTCTTAATCTCCCTCGCGTTTTCACTGTCAAAGAGAATGCAAGACGACAACGTGATGAATGGGGGGAGCTATGGGGTGTGAGGTGTGGACACGGTTTTAAGCGGCTGCAGCTAAGGAGGAGTATGGGAGAGGAGGCTGCAGAGAACACGAAAAAGAGAGCTTGCAGAGACCCATTGAGATAAAAATGGGCGAGCATGCCAGTGTCAGGCAAAGCTGTGCAATTTTCTCCAACACTGCTCTGTGGCCTGAAGGAAAGATGAGGAGCTGTGGGGTGTGACGTGTGAGGTGTGGACAAGGTTTCAAGAGGCTGCAGCTGAGTAGGAGATGGGCAGAGGAGACTGCAAAGAATACGAAAAAGAGAGCTTGCAGAGATCCACTGAGATAAAGATGGAAGAGCACGCCAGTGTCAGGCAACGCTGTGCAATTTTCCCCAACACTGCTCTGTGGCCCCGAAGGAAATCGAGGAGACTGACAACGTTATTTTGGAGCACATGGAAAGGATAAGGTAAAGCGTTTCAGCGGACGACGACGGCTCTGGTTCAGAGGACGTGACAGGCACTGCGAGAACCCCAGGGGCCCGGGGACCCCCCACACGCATGCCTTTCCCCGCCCCCCACCCCGGGGGGGCTTACCAGCAGGCCCTCCACGTTGATGGGGTCGCGGCAGCGGCGGCGCACAGTCTCCTCCGCCGGGTCCACGAGCAGGCTGGGCAGCTTCCGCGCCGGCGGCTGCTGATTCATGCTGCCCGGACAGTCGCTCCTCGCCTCGCACCCCCGAGAGCTCTCCCGCCTTCTCCCGCGCCGCTCGGGCGACGCCCCCCCCCACACACAACACGCCGGATCCCGGGGGGTAGGGGGGCTGGAGGGGAGAAGGGGGCGTCGTCAAGCACGAACCGAGCCCCTGGCCGGCTCAGAGGCGCCGCCTAACCTACACCGGCTGGCGGACCGGACGCGACCCCAGGAGGTGGGACGCGGGCGGGCTAGAGAGCACCGTGACCCGCGCACCTCAGGACGCCAGTCCCGCCATTTTCCCGCAAGCGCAGTGAGGCGCCGCCCCCAGTGCGCATGCGCGCCGCCGCCGGCGGCGCTCGAGCACTCCCGACGCGCTGCGCGCGGCCCCCAGCCTGGCGGGACGAGGGGGAGCCCGGGAAATCCCGGAGGGCGGAGTCCGCGGAGAGGACGGCACCGCGAGAGGAAGACGCGGCGTGGGAGGTCCAGACGGAGGGGTCGGGGCGGGAGGGACCCAGGCCGCTGGGACAGCTCGCTTGTGCCCCTCGGAGTTCTTGACTCTAACACACTAACTGAACGTTCTCAGCTCGCAGGGAGTTAATTTACATCTCAGGCACGTGCCCACTGCTGATGCTTATTCGTCGGTGGAATTATTTACTGATGTGCGTCTTTTTTTCCCCCCCTTCTCCTTTCTTCCTTCCAAATGAAAATTTGAGAAATAAATGATTCCCTATGGTGTCGGAGATCATGGTGGGCACAGGAGTTGTTCCTTTGAATTTGGCATAATCTCCAATTCTAGTGGAGGAGAGAGATAAAGGAAATGTTTAAAGCTGGAAGAATTGATGCTTTTGAACTGTGGTGTTATAGAAGACTCTTGAGAGCCCCTTGGACTGCCTTTGCCAACAAAGTCCCGTCTAGTCAAAGCTATGGTTTTTCCAGTAGTCATGCATGGATGTGGGAGTTGGACTGTAAAGAAAGCTGAGCGCCGAAGAATTGATGATTTTAAACTGTAGTGTGGAGAAGGCAATGGCACCCCACTGCAGTGCTCTTGCCTGGAAAATCCCATGGAGGGAGGAGCCTGGTAGGCTGCAGTCCATGGGGTTGCTAAGAGTCGGACAGGACTGAGCGACTTCACTTTCACTTTTCATGCATTGGGGAAGGAAATGGCAACTCACTCCACTGTTCTTGCCTGGAGAATCCCGGGGATGGGGGAGCCTGATGGGCTGCCGTCTATGGGGTTGCACAGAGTCGGACACGACTGAAGCGACTTAGCAACATCAGCAAACTCTAGTGTTGGAGAAGACTCTTGAAAGTCCCATGGACTACAGAGAGATCCAACCGGTCCATCCTAAAGGAAATCAATCCCGAATATTCATTGGAAGGACTGATGCTGAAGCTGAAACTTCAATACTTTGGCCATCTGATGCGAAGAACTGAGTCATTGGAAAAGACCCTGATGCTGGGAAAGATTGAAGGCAGGAGGAGAAGGGGAAGACAGAGGATGAGATAGTTGGATGGCATCACCGACTCAATGGACATGAGTTTGAGTAAACTTTTGGAGCTGGTGGTGGACATGAGTTTGAGTAAACTCTGGGAGCTGGTGGGAGGCCTGGCGTGCTGCAGTCCATGGGGTCGCAAAGGACTGAGCAACTGAACTGAAACCTGGAGCCATTTTGCTCTCTAGCAGTAATTAATACAGCATTGCTTCCCAGGTGGCACCAGTGGTAAAGAACCCTCCTGAGGAGGCAGGAGGCTCAGGTTTAATTCCTGGGTCGGGGAGATCCCCTGGAGGAGGGCATGCAACCCACTCCAGTATTCTTGCTTGGAGAATCCCATAGTCAAAGGAGCCTGGTGGGCTATAGTCCATAGGGTCATAAAGAGTCAGAGATGACTGAAGTGACTTAGCACACATGCATGTAAATTAACTCAACTTCCATTACAAAAAGAAAAGAAAAGTGTTTCAATAAGAAAACTTACATGTGCCACAAATCCAGGAAGCAGGTAATAAAAGGTGGAGTTTAAATGCCTATATAAATAATAAAGCTGGAGCCAGACAATGTGTTTTCTGATCCTGGCTCCCCATGCTTAGACGTTTATAAGATCTGAAGAAAGTGAAAAAAAAAGTGAAGCTGCTCAGTCATGTCTGACTCTTTGTGACCCCGTGGACTGTAGCCTACCAGGCTTGTCCGTCCACGGTATTTTCCAGGCAAGGGTACTGGAGTGGGTTGCTATTTCCTTCTCCAGGGGATCTTCCCCACCCAGGAATCAAACCCGAGTTTCCCGTATTGCAGGCAGACGCTTTACCCTCTGAGCCACCAAGGATGCCCTATAAAACCTGAAACAATCTGTTTAATCAGTCCCTGCCTCATTTTCCTTATTTGTTGAATGGGATTAAAGACTACTTACCTCCTAAGATTGTTGTGGGGGATAAATGAACGAATGAATGTAGCCTACTTAGAACTGGGAATAGCTAGGATTTGATACAAAAAGGCATTTGTTGTTGTGTAGTGGCCAAGTTGTATCTGACTCTTTGGCAGTGCCTTGGACTGTAGCCCACCAGGCTCTTCTGTCCATGGGATTCTCTAGGCAAGAATACTGGGGTGGGTTGCCATTTCCTTCTGCAGGGGATCTTCCCGACCCAGAGATCAAACCTGAGTCTCCTGCATTGGCAGTCAGATTCTTTACCGTCTGAGCCAAAGGCAGCCTAAGGTGGGGCAGCAAGGCTTCCAGAGAAAGGTGGTTTCCCAACAGACTTAAAAAATTTCTTGAGAGCAGAGATATTCTTTAATCTTTGTATCTCTGGCATCTAGCACAGTTCCTGACAAATAGTCAGTCAGTCAGTTCAGTCGCTCAGTTGTGTCCGACTCTTTGTGACCCCATGAATCGCAGCAGCCAGGCCCCCCAGTCCATCACCAACTCCCGGAGTTTACTCAAACTCATGCCCATCGAGTTGGTGATGCCATCCAGCCATCTCATCCTCTGTCATCCCCTTCTCCTCCTGCCCCCAATCCCTCCCAACATCAGGGTCTTTTCCAATGAGTCAGCTCTTCACTGAGGTGGCCAAAGTACTGGAGTTTCAGCTTCAGCATCAGTACTTCCAATGAATACCCAGGACTGATCTCCTTTAGGATGGACTGGTTGGATCTCCTTGCAGTCCAAGGGACTCTCAAGAGTCTTCTCCAACACCACAGTTCAAAAGCATCAATTCTTTGGTGCTCAGCTTTCTTTATAGTCCAACTCTCACATCCGTACATGACCACTGGAAAAACCATAGCCTTGACCAGATGGACCTTTGTTGGCAAAGTAACGTCTCTGCTTTTTAATATGCTGTCTAGGTTGGTCATAACTTTCCTTCCAAGGAGTAAGCATCTTTTAATTTCATGGATGCAGTCACCATCTGCAGTGATTTTGGAGCCCCAAAAATGAAGTCTGACACTGGCAAATAGTAAGTGCCCCATAAGTGTTTGCTAGATGAATGACTTTAAATGAAGGATAACCTAGAGGAAGTCACTAGAAGAGTTGGTTTTATTACAGAATGGAGAATTTCCCAGAGTAATTAAGTGACACCTTTACCAACCGCAGTCTCTGAGAAGGCAAACTCTGGAAAACAGAAATGGCTGTTTTTAATTTAAAAGAGACACAATCCAGCATTTGCTCTCTGTTTTGCATTCCACTAAATGTTCTGTACACATTTCCTTATGTAAATCTTACATAAAAACTGAAAGATATGTATTTTTCTGCCCAATTTGTAGATTAGGAAAATAAAGATTAGCAAGATTTGTAAAAATTACCTGAAGTCCTAGCTCGGCAGTGACAGAGGCAGGATTTGACTTCATAACTGATTGATTTAGTATGGATCCTTGGGAAGATTCTTGAAGGGTGACTAGATTTTCTACAGCCACAGGTTGGGTCAGGGAGTGAAGGTGGGTGGGTCAGGGTGGGGGTGGCCAGCACTGCATTTCAAGCTGAAGGCAGAACATGAGCACAGCTGTGGAGGTCAGGGCTGTGACACTGACCTCCAGACACTTACAATACATGTGACTTGGTTTTACTCAATGTGAAGTGAAGTGAAGTGAAGTGAAGTTGCTCAGTCGTGTCTGACTCTCTGCGACCCCATGGACTGTAGCCTACCAGGATCCTCCCTCCTTGGGATGCTCCAGGCAAGAGTACTGGAGTGGGTTGCCATTTCCTTCTCCAGGGGATCTTCCCAACTCAGGGATCGAATCCGGGCCTCCCACATTCCAGGCAGATGCTTTAACCTCTGAGCCACCAGGGAAGCCCCCAATATACTCAGTATATATATGCATAAAAGGATGGATGGGTGATGAAAAGTAGAGTAGAATGGCTTGAGAAACGTAAGATTTGGGATTCCACCAGAGATTATATTACCTCTGCAGTCTGTGGCTACCCACAGTGTCTCTGATGGATATAGCCTCATATGAGAATTGTAGAAAGAGGAGGGTATATAAACATGGCCAAGGAGAAGAGGAGCCAAGATGGCGGAGGAATAGGATGGGGAGACCACTTTCTCTCCTACAAATTCATCAAAAGAATAACTGAACGCAGAGCAAACTTCACAAAACAACTTATGATCGCTAGCTGAGGTCATCAGGCACCCGGAAAAGCAACCCATTGTCTTCGAAAGGAGGTAGGACAAAATATAAAAGATAAAAAGAGAGACAAAAGAGCTAAGGACGGAGATCTGTCCCGGGAAGGGAGTCTTAATAGAGGAAGTTTCCAAACACCAGGAAACCCTCGCACTGGAGGGTCTGGGGGAAGTTTTTGAATCTCAGAGGGCAACCTGACTGGGAGGGGAACAATAAATAAAACCCACAGATTATGTCCCTAAAAGCAACTCCCAGCAGAAAAAGTACCCCAGACACCCCCATCCGCCACCAGCACGGGGGTGCAGAACGGAGAGGAGCGGGCGGCATTGCTTAGGGTAAGGACTGGGCCTGAGTGCCCTGAGGACAATCGGAGGGAGCTTTTGTGAGTTACCAACTTAAACTGTG